ATTGATATATAGTTTTAATTGTATTTATTCTATCTCTTTTTGTTGATTTTTGGATTGATTTTGTTGTTTGATTTGTAGGTTTTGTGGGTTTTACAATTATCTTCTTTCTTTAAGATGATATCATCAAATTTTTTTTTTTTGCTACAGGTGGTTGTCAATTCTAATTGCAGCAAATAGATTTATATCACATAACTTTTATCTTCATGACTTCTTCAATGTTTCAATTAAGTTGCCTTCAAATTATACTGTTGGAGTTGTTGTTGCTTTCTATGTGAGTTCTTTTCTCAACATTTTTAATTTTTTTTTAATTTCCAAAATAATAATAATAAAAATAATTCATTTTCTCTTATCAACAATCAAAATCAGTTTTTTTTCCCTTGGCTATGCAAGTCTCTTGCTTTAAAGATCACATTTTTCAACAATGTTTTTTTTTCTCTGATTGATTTATACACTTATCAATAATACTCATTGGGTTATCCTGCAAATTTTTTTGCTTTTCTTGACAAAGTTGTAAACTTTGGTTGCAGATTTCAAATGGTGACATATTTGAGAAGAACCATGATGATATAGACTTTGAGTTCAATTTGTAGATATTTTATTTATTGATTTTTTAATTATCAATTCAATATAAAATGAACTTTAATATAAAAATATATATTTAAAACACAAAAAACCAATAATAATGTAAAAAAAAAATATAATAAACATATCAGCGCAACATAACTTGAAAATGAATATAAGTTACAAAAATTGCAGAAGGTCAGTATAAATTTTAAATTTAAATAGTTGATCTTGATAATACTTAGGTGATCTTAAATATCATATACGATTCACAACAAAATACTGACATCGAATATCAAATACATGTCTGCAAAAATAATATCAATTGTACAAGGTGATGATCCTAAAAATATAATTAGACCATATAATATTCAGGTAATCTTCTCAAGTTTGATGAATGATTTAATGACATCTACCTATAATTGATATTAATAATTATATAGGCACAATTATTAATTTTATTTTAACACAACTTTGTATATATATATATATATAACTTATATTTACTTTAAAATTGATATAATTTAACAATTATTATGTCGTAATCTAATTAGTTTATTTTGTTAGAATAAATTTGTTTACAATTTATTTCAAAAACATTGAATAAACATACATGTATAACACCCGGGCCTCATGTCTAGTGCTCATATAAGAGTTAACTAATACAACCCAATACGAGATTTATTGTCATGTTAATTATATTTCACATAAAATATTTATATTCATTTATATCAAAAATTAATTTATACAACCCATCACATTTATGCATCATTTAAATGCATAATAATTGACTCGTTTAGAACTCACAACCAATCAAAATTATTATTAACATTATCTTTTGACCTATCCTTTATTATATTGGTCTCCTATATAAAAATGTCTTAATATTATGCTTTGACTTAAAATAATACAAAGTGGTTCTGCCATTGGAAGCAACAATCAATAAAACACAATAAACTAATTTTTTACTTGGGCAATGAGTTGTATAATCAAAAGCAACTTTTGGCTCAACGTTTTGGATTTAGCTTGCTAGGAATCAAATGTTCTACAGATTTTGTAGAAGCTAGAATTACTACTAACCAACCTCCAAGAACTTAGAAAACCAATTTGATCGACTATTGAATAAGATCCATTTCACGTTATATTTAAAGAATGATTTCCTCTGAACATACGAAGTAATATCGGTTGTTCGTATATGAATCGATTGCAATTTTTTTCTCTCCATGAGAGTAATAGAGTTTGGTTATGCTTGTTTGCTACCCATCTCTATCATAGTACCATAATGCCAACGTAGGTGAAGGGACATAAAATTAATTTTTGCATATGCGTGGAGTACATTGAAATAAATAATTTAGTTGGAATATTACCAACCATTCTGTGATCTCAATGCACCCATTTGTAGTTAGGGCCATTTTGTGTTTGAAAACAATGGTGTATACATAAGGTGTTTTCATTTCGGTTGGGGGAGTGGTTGTTGGGTTTAGTTACCTTAAAAGTGAACTGTGAAACTTTTCTTCTTTGTTAATTTATCTATTTTCAACTTAGAACCCAAGGGTTGGTGAGGAGATGAGCGAAAAATCATGTCGGTCGTGCATCCATTCAATCACATTTAAAAAACTATCAATCATTAACAAAAGTTCTCACGATTTTATAACATAAACATATGAATCACATGGTGTATATATATATATGTACGCAAAGTTTTTCAATATTGATAAATGGGTATGAGAATGAAGATTTCACTCATTTTTATCATTTAAAAGGAAATGAAGCAAAAGCCCCCCACCCCCGGTTTGATTCCATTGCAAATTTGCAGGAGGTGTGCAATTAAGCCACCTTTGACGTCTCATTGTTTGTTGGCCGCCCAAGAAGAGGATGATTTGTGACAAGCACATGACACCAATTAGACAAGAGAGAGGGGGCCCTTTATTGTGTTGGGTTAATCGGCCTCTTTATGGCCGGCCATTGCATGTAAAGTTGTCAAGCATATATATATAAAATAATTGAAAACAACCAAAATTCAAAGCTTGTTATCACTACCCCCAACCATGCCTGTCCCTTTCATTCACCTTCACCTAAGTCCATTTCAATATTCTTTTATAACACCCTTTACCTTATATTTTCATAGAAAAGAGAAAATTAAAAAATATGTCTAGAAATTTGTTGTTTAGCGTTTATTGATGGCAATAATCTGTTACTTGACGTTGATCTGGGTTTTAAGGAATGCAGATATCTTATATATGTCAAATCTGGATTGAAACTTTGGAAGAATTTACTAGTTTCCCCTTTCTCTCTCGCCTCAAACAAAGAGAACATTCTTAACCACATATTTAAAAGAAGTTGAGAAAGCATCTCTAGTCTCCAAATTTAGGTACCCTTTAGGCAATACTCTCTATTCATCCTCAAAAGTTGTTGAAGAATCAATGGAAACCATGAATGGTTGTTTCTCTTTCCCAATGCATTATGAGAGCTTCAATCATGACCTTGCCATTAGAAGGTTTTGTCCTGCAAGAGTTGAGCAAGAACAAGGAGAATGGGAGGAGATAATGAATGAAGTTGAGTTGTTTTCTCCTTCCGATCACGATGACTCCACCAGCACTCCTCATTTAGCTGCCTCTGAGGTTGATGAGTTTGTTGATAGCTTCTTTAACATGGAGAACGATCATGACAGCAACAAAGATAATAATAATAACAATGGCCATGATAATCTCAAGGCCTCTGAGGAGGGGCTCAAGAGTAGTTTTGATCATTTTGAAGATGTCCAATTTGTGATAAATGGAGGAGATGACCATTCGCAAATAAGTAATGGTGTCTCTTATGAAGAGTTAGGGATTGCCTCTCATGAGATGGTACCAAGTGTGGAGGACGTGAGTCATGGTGTGGATCAAGGGCTTCACTTGGTGCATTTGTTATTGGCTTGTGCTGAGGCTGTTGGTTGCAGAGATACTCAGCTTGCTGAGTCTATGCTTAGGCAGATTTGGGCTTCTGCAAATTCTTGGGGTGATTCTTTACAGAGAATTTCCTATTGTTTTGCAATGGGGTTGACGTCTAGGCTATCACTTCTTCAGAATGTCAATGCAAATGGTACATTTACTGATGGAGCTATGGATGTGTCTTTGATCTCCAGGGAGGAGAAAGTTGAAGCTTTTCAACTCCTATACCAGACAACTCCTTTCATTGCTTTTGGTTTCATGGCTGCAAATGAAGCTATATGTCAAGCTGCACAAGGAAAAGACTCTTTGCACATCATTGATCTGGGAATGGAACATACCCTTCAATGGCCTTCTTTGATTAGAAGTCTGGCTTCAAGGCCTGAGGGTCCTCCAAAAATACGAATTACCGGATTAATCAATGATCAAAATCTGTTAGAGCTTGAAGCTAGCATGAATGTACTTGTGCAGGATGCTAGTTCACAAGGTGTCTCGTTAGAGTTCTTCATGATATCAGAGCCAATTACCCCATCGCTTTTAAGCAGGGAGAATATTAACTTGAAAAAAGGAGAAGCATTGTTTGTGAATAGTATTATGCACTTGCACAAGTTTGTAAAAGAGAGTAGAGGCTCCCTGAAGGCAATTCTCCAAGCAATCAAGAAACTCAATCCAACCTTGCTTACAATGGTGGAGCAAGATGCTAACCATAATGGTCCTTTCTTTCTTGGGAGATTTCTTGAGTCTCTTCATTACTACTCTGCTATTTTCGACTCGCTTGAGGCTAGTTTGCCGAGAAACAGTCCTCAGAGGATGAACATAGAGAGACTTCACTTTGCAGAAGAGATAAGAAACATTGTAGCATATGAGGGCTCTGATAGGATTGAAAGGCATGAAAGGGCAGATCAATGGAGAAGACAACTAGGCCGAGCAGGATTTCAAGTTGTGGGGATGAAGTGTTTGAGTCAAGCTAGGATGATGCTATCTGTTTATGGTTGTGATGGCTACACTTTGGCTAGTGAGAAAGGCTGCCTTCTCCTTGGATGGAAAGGAAGACCAATAATGCTTGCATCTGCTTGGCAGGTCAACAATGGTTCATCTTCTTAATGTCTTGGATGATACCCTCCCCAAAACGGATTATTTGTTCACAAAAGTGACTTTTGAGTTAGAAAAATAATGTGGTGGATTATCTAGTAAACAATAATCCCTTTATACAAAATGGCATTATTGATTTCATTGTATAAGGACTTCTTCAAATGTAACCATCTGTTACTTTGGTCTCCAAATTTTTCCATTTACTGCCAGCTGAATCATTTTGAACTATTCCAGGCATATAATTTGGTACTTTTGGACCATTAAACCTGGCAAAATCTATTGAAAACTGACCAAGTTCAACTAGCCTTATTTTTGGGCAAGAAAAAATGCAATTACTGAAACAAGAGGAGCACAAATCAGACCATATTTGCATAGGGGAGATTAGTGTATCAAAAGCCTTTATATCATCAGCAATGCAAATCAAATGAGAAAACTGCAGCTCTTTATGTGAAGTAAATCTGAATAAGTTATGTAACAGTCAACGACAATGTTATTAGGTTTGCGAGAAAATTGAGATACATTGGAGTTTTATTTAGGAGAAGCTCTTCCATTTCAAAAAAAAAAAAACAATTATGGAAGGCTATTTCCCCTTTCTATTAGTATCTATCTCTGGCGTGTACAAATTGAATGAATTATCAATAAAACATTTGGAGGTACAGAGGAACCGTTAAACCATTACTTGGATGCCTTGTGAGCATGTTTGGCTTGGTTAGCCGCATTATACATCACACGTAAGCGACTGGCAATTTCTGTGAAGGATGGCCTGGCAGAGGGATTTGGAGCCCAACACTGCTCCATCAATTCTTTCCATTCAGCATCGCAATAGCTTGGAATGGTTGGTCTCAACGTGTTATTTACAATTCCTCCTGCATGCAAGGGAAAACATCTAAGATGATCTATATTTCATATAGATTGTTGAAAGAAAAGATAACATAACATTTGGATGCGACCCCTTTGCACAAACCAAAAATGATGGAAAAACAAACATAACACAATTATAGAGCATCAAATCCTATCATTGTATGGGGCTGGCCTGTAACTAAATTCATAGAGGTACTGAAGCAACACGAACAATTTCTGTTCTAAATTCAGATATTCATAGTTCAACGGATCATCAAAGCAACATGATATAAGGATGCTACAAATAATGCTGATATACAAATGCAAAAGGGAAAATGTAGATGTGGCACCATTCCTGGAAAGAGAGGAAAACCAGTTTTAAAAAAACACTTTCAATGAAGATGTAAACTACACTGGAATGACCTAGTTCAAGGAAAAAAGTGCTATGATATAGAACTTTTGCTTCACGCCTTCAGACCTAAATTTTATTTGTCTATGCAAGCAGACACTGATTATATGAACTTGGGATTCACAGTGTTGCAGTTTCGTAAAACAGGCATAATCGAGAGAGAAGGCAAAAGGAGAATAGTACTGAAGACAAACCTATGATTGCACCATAGTGCATATTGGCATATGGCTCCTCCCCAGTGAGAATCTCCCATAAGACAATACCAAAGGAGAACACATCAACCTGTGGATCAACAAAGAAATGTAAGCAAACCAGTACTTGCAAGAGGCAAAGCTCAACAGCCAGACACAAGAAAAAAAAAATAGAACCCTAAAAGCACCAAGTTTCAAACCCTTGATTTCCTGACAATAATAATACACAGACATATGTTTCAAAGCTCACTCTTGTTAAGCAAAAAGGTATCTGCATCTCGACTAGTTGTTGACAAGAGGAAAAATCAATACCATATAATTATGTTCTTTGTTTAGCCATTGCGGAAGAAAATATCATGAGTGCATCTTACCTTTTCTGAGACCTTGCTGCTGCTGCCACTTAGCAGCTCAGGGGCCATCCATGGTAGGGTTCCACGTACACCACCAGAAACCAAGGTATTCCGCTTGATTTTAGATAGTCCAAAATCACCAACCTGGAATGAGTAAGAATATAAACAACTGCAATTAGTACAAAATGTTTGTTGGGAATGCCTATCACTAAAATAGGCAGCATCGTCAACTGTACCTTGCAAATTGGTCGTGAAGGATCTTTTAAGTTCACAAGCAAATTGTCACATTTCAAATCAAAATGTACAATGTTCTTTGAGTGCAGATATTCCATTCCAAATGCTGCATCCATAGCAATTATTAATCTCTTGCGTCGGTCAAGAAACCTGATTAAGATTGAAGAAACATGAAGCCAGAGATAAGTTTGAAAGCAGTAACAGCTTCCACACCAAAATCGTGAACCAGCAGGAAGCACATATCAGAAAGTCACAATTCTTTTGGACTTTCCAGTCCAAAATCATATATAATCTGTCTAATATTCTATTCTAGTATGATAATATAAATAAAATTTTAGAACATCTGTTCCATAATCCAGAAGTCAAATCGAAATTCAATGATTGTTACCTATCCTTGCGAACCAAAACATGCCTAAGAGAACCATCAACCATGTATTCGGCCACAGTAGCTAATGTCCCACCAGGTCCATCTTGCACTACACCATAAAATGCCACCACATTTGGATGGTGAAGCTTTGAAAGAATGTCAGCTTCACGCCAGAACTCCACAGTCTGGAGATGTCAGTGAGCAAAAAGCATTAAGAAAGAAAATACAAAGAGAGTAGTCTTGATGTTTTTCTGATCAGAGATACGATTGTAGCACACGTGACATGATATGTATAGAAAACATGGAAGAGAAGTATAGCTATGTTTGAAACTGTGTGAATAGTTTTTCTTTTAATTTTCTTTAGTATAACATGGAAGACTGTTGGTGTATATAAAAAGGCATTGTCCAATTTGGAGATAGACCATTTGGCATAATTTTTGGGAAGACTGGACTAAAGTGAACAACTCAAGGCTTGACATCATGTACTAGTATAAATGTTTACACATACAGACATGTATAGCTATATTTGAATGTCTCAAGGTGCAAAGGAATAATTACCAATCTCTCTTGCTCTGATGATCTTCCTGTGAAGCAGCTCTTTTTAATTCTCTTAATGGCAACATCTGTTCCCCTCCATTTTCCGTGATACACAGTCCCAAAAGTACCAGAACCCAGTTCTTTCTGCTCTTCAAGATCTTCATTTTTTATTACCTTTTAAGTACATTCAGAAGAAATAACAAAGCAGAAGTTGAGTATAGACAAAGGAAATTGTCAAAAGGAAGCTAAACAATATCAAACAACCAAAAGGGCTAAATCCAAAGGCAAGCAAGAAAGAAGAAAGTATGTTGGTACTTTTCATGAATGTGTAGAGTATAGAAGAGGAAAAGGACAATTTTAGAGGTGAAACACATGCTCTCACAAGATTAAAACATTAAACGCAGCATGATTGTTCAAGATATCCAGTATAATCATATAAAATATCTAATCAAGCACGTCTTAGCCTTGTAAAAACATGTCACAGTAACAGAAAGACAACATACAGTAAGAGACCATGTTAAAGTGCAAGCCAATATTTCAAACACAGGCATCATACCTGCAAGGTACTAATATCAAAGTCTCCCAAAGAAGGATCAAGAGGAGGTAGACCAATATTCTTGTTTCCTACATTTGCTTCCTAAAAGCATTGAAGTGGTTAGATATTCTGCAATGGCCATATAGTTTAGAAGTTTCTGAAACCAAATCACCAGTAAAAGAGATTTATTACCTCATACTCTGACTCTGGTGCTTTTAGGTTCTCCATCATAGCGTCAAACTGCATGCTTTCACTAACACTAGGATCCGCTCCAAATGTTCTAGGTAAACCTTTCTGGTTATCTTCACCAAAATTGGGTTGGGAATCCACATGGCCCATTGGAACTCCTTCTGTTGTTAAAGGTGTAAACTGATACAATACACGATCTCCTTCTTCAGCATCTCTAAGTGCAGGCGAGAAACTGAGATGATCTTGGTCCATGGAAGAATCATCTTTTTGACCAAACTCTGCTTGAGCCAAATTACGAAAATACGACCAGCGCTTTGGTTCGTGATTTTTCATGTTCACACTAATGCCAGCTCCATCTTTGTGCAGCGGAGTAATACCAGAGGGATACTCAGAGAGTTTGGCTTTGGAGTACATATCTGAGAGGAAATCGCGAGGGAACCTATCATCAACATCAACACGAATATCTACCCGCTCTGGTGCTGAAACACCAACAGAGGAAATTCCTTGAGAAAAATCTTTAGTTGAGCTCTCTGACTGAGGAAAAGGCTGTGAATGCCCCTGAATGGTACTAGCAGAGGATGCCTGGCCAATTTTCTCACCACCGTTAAACTCTGATGGATTAGATGCAAATCCTTCATGGTGCATAATGGAAGCTGCTTGGCTCACTGCAGGAAGTTCTGATTCAGCTTCTCCTTTTTCATCTACCAATAGTTGCTTATGAACCCTGTCCTTGTTTTGAGCACCTTTGTTGTCCATCAGGTTTGGAATTACCTGCTTCAACTCGTGATGGTCTAACATTTCTTCAGAAAGCTCTGAATTCATCTGAGATATAGCATCAGCAAACTCTTTGTACTTCTGAAGTTGGGCAAGTCCATCTTCAATGGTTTGAGGATCATTATGCAAATTTTCATCAGATTCTGACACTGGATCCTGCTGGACAATGTCAGAACGTGAATGAGAAATGAGAAACTGAGAACCAAGGGAGTCATCAGACTTCGACAACCGATCAAGCAACCCTGCCTGCTCCCGAGGTATCATCTCTGAATAATAGATCCTCTGAGAAGGTGCAGGTGGCACAAGATGGCTCATATCAATTTGATCAGACTCTGAAATACCATGAGCAGCACCATGTGTGCTGCTCGACATGGAACATAAGTCATCATTACTGCACTTTGGAACCTGTAGTGCATTTACAGCATCAACAGGTGGAAACACCTTTTCAGGTTCTTGGTGTCTTCCCTCATGTTCTAAAGGTAGAGATCCTTCAGGTGCAACAATTCGAACTGCTGCTTCTTCAACAGGAAAATGCTTCATCACCTTATCATCTTCTAGCTGAACTGAACCATCAGATATTGGTTTACCCAGCCTTGCCATCATATATGGATATTGTGCTTGTAAAACACTATATGGTTGCCCTTCACTCACATCTCCATGTTGATTTATAAACCCATGAAGAGGGATTGAAGTTGGTATTTTCTCAACAGGAGTGTATCCAGAAGGATCATGGCCATAGTGCAGCGGATATTCTTTAGTTTCTCTAAGATGCATCATCTGCTCATGATAAAACTGCGGATTGGTTTCATAGGAATTGGAGGAACTTGGTAGAATAGTTTTAGATGTACGAGTACTCGATGATGGTACAACGTTGCCAGTCAATGTTGAAGTGCTAACCCCAACTGTGTCTGTTACAGCTCTACTCGTCCTCCTTTCATTGTTCTGCCCTTCTAACTCATTCAAATCATTTGCTGATGTGCTCCTCAAACCATGCAGGTTCAAGCTTTTTTGGGACCCCAACTCCATGCCATTTACAGCAACCACATACTGAATCTCAGAGTCCCCATCACTGCTGCCGAGACTAAACTGAGTATCAGCCAAATCACTCATGGAGAACAGAAAAATCCTAAGCTTTTGTGATACTTCTCTATCTCCAAGCTCATCACACTCCTCCATCATGTTCTGCAGATCCTCATCACAGGACACAGAAACCAATGCATCGAGATCCTCCCCAGGGAGTTGATACTTAATCACATGAACTTGGCTATAAACTTCTAATGTTTTTTGCTTAAGCCTCTGCCAAGAAATGTCCTTCCTTATACGTATAATGCGTGTTTCACCTCCAACATACCTAAGCTTTCCATCACTTGGCCGGGGTAGGACTTTGCCACCAAAGCTGCAGAGAACTTTCATTTTAATTGATGAGCTATCAGAGGCTTCCGATGACGCATATCCACGTGGTAGGCTCCGATTACTATCATAACCTGAAGGTGGTATAGACCGAACTGACCCATAGTTGCTTCTTTCTTCGTGTAAAGAAGAATTTCTTCTCTCAAACTCTTTCTGACCTCTCTCTACCATGGTGAGCATTGAAACATCTGACCCACTTTCGGATCCTGTATGACTAATACCTAAAATGCCTTTTAGTTCCATATAGCCAGTAGCATAATTGGGATCACCTGCAATATTTGGAATCAAAGGCTTCCGGGGATTCACCCGATCACGCATAAATTCAAGGGCGAATTCCTCACCAGTCTGTATGGAGAAGTTACGTACAGGTTTAACCTCTGACATATATGGGTCAGGAGGTATCATATTAGCATTTATGCTGCCAGTAGGGTCCAGCATATATGCCTGAGATGCAGGCTGGACCTGGAATTCTCCATTTCCAGGTTGCATGGAAGTGTATTGATAAGGTTGAGGTATTCTTGATTGTTCCATGTCTATGTGGTTTGGGTTTCTCTCCATTTAGCTTGACTCAAATAGGAATTACCCCAATGTTGAAGACTAGAAGAAACTCGTATGCAAACGGTTCATCTGCCAAATTGCAATCTTCAATTATATGTAAAGCAGGAACTGCAATAAGATACGGAAAAGCTGAATTTGCTAGCAAACAGCCACAGCAAGTTTCCAGTTTACTTACAGTGGAAGAGGTTTACGGTAACTTCCGAATATTAAAGATGATAACTATTAACTGTAGTTGGAGCTAATACTAGCAAAAGGCCTTCAGAGGATATTATGGCCTGCACAATATAAGAATCAGAGAAGAAAAGTAAATAAAAATACAAATATAATGCTCTAAGATAAATTGGAAATACACATATAATTCAAACCCAAAGAAAGAAATATTAAAAAAAAAAAATCATATTAAATAGTTATGGTAATAATCCACACCTAAATTTAGTATATATAAAAATTAATTATGTATTTTAATTTCATACCTTTACTTATCACATCCTTAAAATTTCAAATAACGACTTGCCAAAATTAAGATCTAAATTTTTATATATGCATGGAACTACTATAATGAAATGGCAAATTTATTCATACAGAGCTGCTGGTTTCATAATTGGGATCACCAGCAGCTGACAGAGGCCAAAAAGAACGCAAAATTACTATCATTAAACACAACACTTAGTATTAATCAAACATCAATTTATTCAGCTAACAATATTAGCTAACCGATTCCTCATAAAGGAACCTACTTCCACCGTAGATTAACAACAAAAATCAACATTTAACATTAATGAACACAACAAATTCAGAAGAAGAAAAAAAAACCCTCCTCAAACTCATCAGATACTCAATCGAATCATACTTAATCTCAATCAATAGGATTTGATATACAAATTTTAAGAAGAAAAACAGGCTAATAGTTTAAAAGATGTACCTTTTAGAGAAATGCTTTCAATAAATGAGCTCTGGTTAGACTTTCTCGGAAGGGTTTGGAAAAAACAGCCATTAATGAACCTGAAAAACTCACTTTTCGAAGCTACAAAAAGCATAAGAATAACACACGAAAATCCCTATATTTACCTCGTTTTCTTTCACTTTCCCTCACTTTTCATCATTTTCTTTAATGGGTAGCTTTGGTTTTATCTTCTTCTGCCACAAAAATTGATTTTTTTTTCAGACAATATAAAAATGATTACAATCTCTCTGTCTGCTACTTCACATCTAAATTCTTCCTTCACTAATAGTCAAACAAGAAACTCCAAGTTCCCAGATAGCCCCCACCTTCTTCTAATATTGACCTTAATGCCCCTACAATTTTTTTTTTTGACTAAATTACCCTCATCCATCTTGTGTATTCAAGTCTATTTTTAGACACCCTTTGATGATCATTGATCAAAGGTTTTGTGTTATCAGTTGATAGAGTGATTAATATGAGATTGTTTTGATTTGTGAAAAAATCAACGATGTAGAGATGGGGTGCAAGATTGATAGAACACATGTGCATGTAATGTATCATGCCCAATAATCCTTTAAAAAATATATAAATTTAGTACAAGATGAGTATGAAATGCCTTGGATTGATTTTGTCATGTCACATGTGCAATTGATGGCCTCACACCTAAACCATTTCCACTTAAACGTCTAAATGATAATAGAATAGTTTGTGTTTATCTTATACTTTTGGTGTGATGCTTAAACAGGAATGAAATGGGTTGCGGATTCACAGGTGAGATACCTTGCACTCACCACTTTGCATAAAAATTCTGAAATTTGATTAACTTTAAAGGAAAGAAAATTTGACAGTGAGTGATGCAAAATGATTGTAGGCATCTTCAAGTTGTGAAGATTGATTAGGATGGCGGTTTGACCTTGTTGATTTATTGTGTATAACTAATTTATTTAATCACTTAATGTCACCATATTAGTTCATTAATATCAAATCTCAACTGGGTTTGTCCTGTTACTTAGATTTATTCGAAATATTTAAGCAGAAAAGGTTGAGAATTTGGGCGTGGTCGGTCAAGTTGGCTATTGTTTTTTGTTTCCCAATTTCAGATAAAACCAAATTTAATTTGTAATATATCTTGGTCGGTTCAAATTGATTTGTTTTATATCATAGAAGAAATTGTCAAAAAGTTTGTGATATATTTTGCTTTGGTTTCAATGGTCAAGCTTCCAAATATCATATCAATCCAATTGTTTAAGAACTTTTCATACAAGATTTAGACTCTTAATGCTTATTATTCGTTTTGTTCCCTTGTTAATTTCCACATTTTAGACCTTCTTTTGATTGTGTCTAAATTCTATAACCCAATTATGGTAAAAAAAAAAAAAAAAAACATTTTGTTAGGTTGGGTGCCCCTCAATTAACACCTTGTGAGCATCTGAGTCAATTTATGCGCACTTAACATTCTACTAGCCTAATAGGTCAGGATGTGCTTCAACTAACACCCTACAAGCCCAATAGGTTAGATGACTAAAGTCTTTTCATCTGACCACAAGACTAGTGGTTAATTATGGTAAATTTAGTAATTAATGTGTATGATTAATTAGGTTAAGAAAGAAAGTTTTAACAAATATGGAAGTGAATATAGGGAATATTGTATTATTGAAAATGTTATATTAATGAAAAGATAGATTGAAAAATTACTGTGAGGATGCGTTTGGTTCAAGGAATGTTGGATTACTGAAAAGTTAGATTACCTTTAAGATTACTGGGACTATTTAAGAAAATGTGTTTGGTTAGTTGGAATAAATTGGTGGGTATGTTTTATTAATATGTTTGGTTGGGAGAAATAAATTGATGGGTATGTTATTTAAATTACTGAATTATCCTCTAATTAAATATTATTATTTAGATTATTAGAACCCCCCTACATTTAAAAACTTAGCAAAAACAACCCCATAATAAAAGTTTGGAAAATCAACAATGCACCCTCACCAACCCAGCCACCGTCGGTCGCTGGCAACCACTACTGGCCGCCGACAGTCAGCAACCTAATGACGTACAGAAGATAGAAAATGACCTCCATCTGCCATATGGCCATTTCCGGCTAGATTTGGCCGGAAACGAGCAAATTAGATCTGGCAGTTTTCCGCCCAGATCTCAAGCCAGAATGGCCATATCGGTGAATGGCGACATTTTTCGGCCTTCCGTGCACCATTCCGACGGTGACAGAAATTGGTCGCGGGCAGCCAGTGACAGTAGGTTTTTTTTGGGGGGGGGGGGGGGGGGGTTGGGTGGGTTGCAATTTGTTTTGAATTCAAGGGTAATTTTGTCCAAAAAGTTAATTAATTGGGGTGAAATAGTACAAGCAATATTCATGTAAATTAATTTAAAAATAAGGGTATTATTGTCCTAAAATTTTATTAATAAAGGATATAATTGTTAGAAGCAAAAAAAAAAGATTACCTTGGTAATCTTACAATACCTAAGAAAATAGAGATAATTTGATATTACCAACAATAACTACTATTAGTATTTGAAGATTACCGGAATTTTATATTACTTAATAACCAAACGTAGTAATCAAGTAATATAAGATGATATAATTTCAGTAATCCCACATAACCCCCAACCAAACACCCCTTGAATGTTTAGGAAAATGTGTTTGGTTAGGTTGAAATAAATTATTGGGTATATTATATTGATATATTTAGTTGGAAGGATAAATGAGTGAATAAGTTACATAGATTACTAAATCGCCCTCCTTTTTAAATATTAATATAATATTATTTTTATTATTAATTTTTGAACTATTTCTTTTAACATCCTACATTTGAAATTTTGCTAAAACACCACAACCATAAACAATTTTAATTTGTAACAAAATCACCTCCAACTATCCCAACCACCCAATGGACTGTCGGTCACCGGCCACCACCACTAGCAATCGTCGACAATCTATTGGGTGGTGGCTAGGGGTGGCTCTAGTCTTGGATAATTTTGTTAAAGTTTAAGGGTAATTTTGTCTTAAAAATCATAAGTATGCGGTTAAGATTGTCCATAAATTTTATTATAAATTATATAGATAACAAAGGTATTTTTATCTATAAATTTTATTAATAAAGAATAAAATTGTAACAAAAAAATATATATTAGCAAATAATGTTAAAATATAAAAAAAAAAAAAATAGAGATAATACATTAATTGTCATAATCAAATAATAGAAGATACATTATCAAACCCACCCACCCCCACACACACAAAAAACACACGTGTTAAATTTGGTGATTTATTTGGTTAAATTGAATGAGTTTATATCAATGTTTTAAAAACCGACCCGGGACAAAACCCGACAAGAAGACCGGGTCTCGGGTCGATCGGTTTAACCGATTGAACCAGCTGGTTCAACCGGTGAACAGTAACTTGATGACGTCAGCATGATGACATCATCAAGTTACTGTTCACATAATACTTTCCTTTCCCAAATTTTACTCTAAAGTCCAAATCATAAACTCCAAAATAAAAAATCCATAGCAAAACATCATCAAACATCATTATATTAATAATACAAATCAAAATAACAAAATGAATGAAGAAAAATAACATAATAGTTGTTTCAAGTTTCCAACTTTCAAGTCAACGACTCAACATTTCAACATTCTAACAAAAATTGATCTTCACCAAATGGTCTTCAATCAATCAATCCATCATCCCATCCTCAATTAAAATTGACAATTCACACACCACCTGATGGATGATCGTCATCATTATTAACAACAGCGACATTATCTACAAAAAATTCTAACAAAAAAGAAAAACCATAAGTTAAATCTTCCCATTTAAACTAATTGAATATAAACTAGCTAATACCAAATTGAAATTGCTTAAAAAAATTTTAAATAACCTTCTGAAGCATCTGTTGAATCATAATAAAAAGGGTGATCACTAGATTCACCATCATCTACAGGAGTAGCTCCTTCTCCATATAATGATTGTTTCAATTCATCATAATTAAGCTCACCAATCTCCTCTTCCTCATCAACTATCCACCATTCAGTTTTATCAATACTCTCATAATCAATAGGATCATATATAATTTTTTTGTAACAACTCCTTAAAGAGCAAAATTAAATATACAAATCATTTTTTATTATTCATAAAGTTTATGCGTTGCTTTCATCAAAAGTAGGTAGACTTTAAAACTTCAGCTAGTAATAAATAGCCAAGAGCCTTTGTTTACAAGACAGAACGTAGTTGTGGCTTAAACCCTTTTTTCTACAACTAATTTTCCAAACTTCTGCACTCAAATGGAGCTCAAAAAATACAAGCGAATTGCGCAACACTACTTCCTCATTGAATTTTCATAAATGTAGTAAAGCTTTATTTGCTTAACACAATAAATTTATACCCATGACAGTTCATTTTTATCTCTCTTTTTCACAAGATTTCCATTATTCCAACCAAACCCAACTCAGTTTAAGTCATGTCCATCTTCCTCAACTGCTTTCTTTCCAATTAAAAAAGCATAAACTCTATAAAGTTTCTTTCCAATTAAAAAAGCATAAACTCTATAAGTATAAACATTGTAGTAAAAAACGAAAAATGAAAAACAATAATAAGTTACATAGTTGGAAACTTGGAACAGAGACGAAATCAATACCTGGTGTTGGTGAAGACTGAAGACGAGCTGCCGTTGAACACTGAACAGAGCAGAGACGAAATCAATGTGGAGCTCGACTAACGGACGAACACTTGAACACTGAACAGAGCAAAACTGCAGAAGAGAAGAAGAGATTGCGAATGCCCACAGTTCATCAGTTCCTGAGCAAGAAGAAGATGACAACGATGGTGCAGCTTTCAGATAGACGGTGACGGAAGAAACGAGCAGATCGGCGGTGAAGAGAAGAGTGAGAACAGATCGCGAAATGGTGAAGGGGAGACGACGAGATTCCACGGTGAACTGGTGACGGTGAAGGCTATTCACAGTGAAGTTAGTGAACTGGTAAAGGGGAGTTCGTGGATGATGAAAAATTGAAAATGCAAAATGGTTCAGAGGAGTTTAGACGAAAAAGGAAAGTGCGTGAAATGGGGGAAAATGTTGATACTTGATACTGTTTAAGTGTGTAATGTGTAGTTAATATAATTTATTAAATTTAATATTTTTATTTTTTAAGTTTTGCAATTTGTATTAATGGATTTTGCTTGACTCGGTTTATAGTAAAGCTACCGGTTGGACCGGTGAGTGCTACAGTACCCCGGTCCAACCGCGGGTCAAACTGGGTAAAGTATTTTTGCCGGTTATATAGCTCACCTGGCCCGGCTGACTGGCCGGGTCCCGGTTTAACCGGCCGGGCCGGATTTTAAAACATTGGTTTATATTAATGTGGAAGAGGGTTTGGTAATTGGTGCTTTATTCTTTCTTCTCTGTCTCTCCACTCTATTCTTCCTTCCTTCGTAAATCCCTGAATCCCTAATTTCGTTCTCTCTTTCCGTGTGACATAACCCTAAATCTCTAAATCCCTAATTCTTCCTTTCGTGTACAACCCCCACGTGCAACGGTGGCACGGTGCGAACGAGGCAACGACTACGGGGTTTGTATTTGCTATGTCGATTTTGCTGGGATCAGTGTATTTGTCAATCTATTGCTGTTGTTCTCATGCTTGTTATTCTTGTTGCTGTGTCGATTTTGTTGTTGGTGTTTGTATTTGCTGGGAAGTTCTGATTTTTGTTGTTGTTGCTCTGAGCTTGCCAAGAACTATTTTCGTTTATTTCAATTAGAAACTAAAAGTACAATAAAATAAGTAGTTCAGATATGGGCGCTGTATAATGATAGAGATAGGATGCCTGAGAGTTATGCTCAAGTTAAGAAAATTGAATCAACCCCTAACTTCAGATTGCATGTGTTAATGCTTGAAGCCTGCTCACTACCTAAAAATCCATTGCAGCCTGTTTGTTGCGGGGCATTTAAAATTCAAAGTGGTAAACCCAGGATTTTAATGCTGGCTGCTGTAAAAAGTTCCAAAGCTGTTCTGTCAATCTGTGTCGCCTACACCTCGACCAATGAGATTGTTAGTGCTGTTAAAGGAATCAGTTGAAGATAAATGGAATGAAATTACTGTACTGGAAGCTAGTGGAGCAGGTTATGGTTTAATTAAACTTGGAGGGAATGAACATGATGAAAGTGTGCCTTTTTGTCTCGGGTTATTGTTTACTTTGAGACACTCGAAGTTATTTGATATATTCTAAAAGAAAGAACTAAAAGAGAGCATTCTTTTAATTGCTGTAAGTTTATCTGCAAGCACAGATAGATTGTTGGCTGTAATTTCTGCCTAGATTGTCTACAAAGCCTACAAGAAAAATGAGTGCAAGTGCTGCTATAAAACGGAAAATTTCCTGACACTTTTCTGTATAAACAGAGAAAAACAGATCTTTGTTTAGCTGTGTCTGCTGGAAACAACAGCACATTAACATTAGCAATAATTTACTCTCTCTAATGTTAAGTTCTAAATAGTAAAAGGTTCTTGGACACAAATAAGTCAAGTGTTAGGTTGTGTTTGTTTTTTTAACTTAACTCTAAATGTATATTAATACTTAATAGTTTTAAGATATGTGATTGTTTGTTTTTAAAATTAAGGATATCTAAAAAGAATTCCTATTTTTATATATTATTAATATATTCTTATGTAAAGTTTGATTATATAAAAAAATAATTATGGTAATTACTATAATTAGCATAACAAAATAGTTACACATAAAACTATTAAGTATTAATGTGTTGATTGTTGTTTGTCAATATTGTATAGTTTTGCCTTCCATGTTCAGATTGTGGACATTGTTTTACTATAACTGCTAAGTGTGATACCGTGCTTGATTTTGTAGGATCTGCATATTTTGCTATAATTCTCATCATCCACATCACCATTGCTCCTCCATACTTATCATCATCCATACTTTTAATTTATGGTTTTTTTTTTTTGCAAAAACCCTAGTTAACTTGTATACAATGATTTTCAGGTGATTCTCAAGTTACAGTAATTTTGAATTATGGGAGGTCATGGTGGTTTGAATATTCTTCCACAGAAGCGGTGGAATGTGTACAATTATGAAAACAGAGAAAAAGTCCGTCAAGACGAAGAGGCTGCTGCAAAAGAAGAGCAACTTAAGCGTGAACAGGCCAGGAAACGAGATGCTGAATTTCGTTTAGAGCAGCTTCGTGCTGCCCGTGGTTTGGCTCCATTGAAACGAGCTAAAGAGACAACTGGAGAGGCTGCTACAGAGCATGTTGAATCTGAACCAAAGTCGAATCATATTAATCTCTTTGAAGGGATTAAGATTTTTGACCCAATTAAAGGGTCAGAGAAAGAGGGTGGTGAAGAGAAAGATGGGTTTAAGAGGAAGAAGATGAGGAAAGAGGAGGAAGCGTCAAAAAAAGTTATGACACCAGATGACGAGAAGTATAGGCTAGGTTATGGGTTAGCCGGGAAAGGGATTAAGTTGCCGTGGTATCTTGAGCGGAGGAGCAATGGTGATGCAGATGCTGAGAATGGTATGGATGATGGGTTGGTGAGAGTGCAAAAGGAGGAGCAAAAGCAGGGAGGGAAGAAGACGCTACAAGAATTGAGAGAAGAACGGTTGAAAAGGGAAAAGAAGGAGAAAGAGAGGGAACGGGCATTGTTTGTGGAGAAGAGTCAGAGAGAGAGGACTTTTGCAAGGGATAGAGGTTTTTCCAGGAGGTGAGCTTTAAGAAATTTCATATCATATATACCTAACACTAGAAATATTAGAATTTATCTGGGCAATGTGTTTGGCCTCTCTCTGGTTTTATGTGGCCAACTCTTGGAGCAAGAATTTATTTTTAGTTTGAGGATGTTCCAAACAAGTAATGTACTAGTTCATTGAATTAATAGTTTCAGCAAGAAATCACAGGCATATTTTGGTATTATATCTTTTTAATGTATACATTATTGAATATATTATGTTCTATACTACCTGTTAACAAAGATGCTTAACTTTGGCTTACATAATCATTCACGGTATATTTACTGGAATGTGCGGGTATAGTTTAACTATTCATTATAGCCTCATGTAGGCAATCGGAAAGTAGTACAGTGTATGCACATATTTCTTGAATTATATGTGATTGTACAGTAAAATCAAATGTGATAGTATTAGTCTGCTTGGACAAATTGTAGTAGGATCAAATGAGAAGCTTCTCCATCATCTCCTTCTTGGAATCTTTGTAGGTCTTGAAGCATTTCTGGGCATGCATTTTTGAGATAAAAAAGAAGGCTAGTGTCTGTCTAATTTATTTATAGGTTAGGTGACTTTCTTATACAGAAAACCAAGTGGCATGATGGGTCCTCTTTTTATACTTTCAATTAATTAATACTAATAGCTTTTGGGTTATATACATGGAATTGTGGTTCCTACAACCTCAGAGCATTTGGGTGCTCTAAAAGGAATTGCATTCTTAGTATTCAAAGTGTTGTTCTGTGAATGGATTTACATTAATGCAACAGAATATTAATGTCCATAGAGATACAGAATCTCTTTTTGTTTTCACTGCGTCTCCTAATTTGATCTGCTTAATGATATCCGACTGTTGTGAGCCTAATTTTTCCTAAAAGCTTTGTCATACAACAAATTTAGTTCTCAGTTTCAAACTCAAACTAGTAAATTGTATGAAGATAATATTATTGGTGTGTGCCTAAGTTTCAGTTCCAATATGCATTCATCTTGCTGTTCACGATTGGAATTTGAGTCAGTAATTTAGTTAGCATAACCATGTATTGCAAGAGAATCACTGTGTGGAGGAGCTGTTGAATTTTCTTTCTGCACTGCATAATTATGTTCAAATAATTTGCTCCTGCTATATGAGCACTTCTTTTACAATCTATATATGTAAGATAATTCAATTCTACAACTGTGCATACTTTTAGAAATGCCCTTATTAAAAATGATCGCATCTCTTCTGTCATTTTATGTCTAAGGTGACATTGTCATGAGTGAAAGTATCTGCATAAGGTTATTTGCATTCAGTTGTCTTTGCCAATTTGTGCTATTTTATTGAGGGTTTAAACATTCAAGCAGTAGTTGTGTTTGAAGGGATATTATAATTAGTTGTTTTGCTTCTGCCAATTTTTGTTAGGAAGTATTATTTTTTCACATATTCATTATTCTTGGCTTCTTACTAGAGGCAATCATCAAGTTGAATGAACTGAAATGTTGGAATTCTGCTTGTAATCTACTCTTCAACCACAATGATCTGTTTTTATAGCAAATTTTATATCATGATTTGGCTTGTATTGAGTTTGTACTTTTTATAGCTGTATAGTTGTGTAGTTGCTGGCGCCTGCATCTGCTCAACAATCTTATATATTCTACGGCGTTGAATGTGAGCATTGTCGCAAGCCTTGTTAAAATAAATGCCAAAGCCTTTCAATTTAAATTTGGATGCGGTAGAACAGGTCATTGTGTTTGAAAATGAGGATGAATTTATTTGTACTGATATTTTGTTTCCCCTGATCTTATAGTGGACTTTTTATGCCTCTTATAAATCATTGGTAGCACATGTTGTATTTATGGCTTTTTGCTTTGCTTTCTTTAGTGAAAAATCTGCATAAATATGACTTCATCAATTTCAGGAGAGTTTTGATCATCAATGACATTTGTGATTATATTTGATTATTCTGATAGATTAGGAGTCAAACATTATTGAGAGTGCATCTATTGCTAAATTGTGCCGTATTCATTGTCTGATTTCAGTCCATAAGATCATATACCCAAACATGAATTTTGAGTTTTAGGAAAAGTTTTCCATAAGAATTTGATTATAAGAGCAGCTTCAGCCTGCGGGAGGCAGAGTTTAAGAAATCATGCATGTTTGCACACTGGGCAAATTCAATATTCCATGTATATATACAGGAGATTCCTACATTTTCTCCAGAATTGGTTCTTCATACTATTGCAGATTTTATGCACAAATAATCTCTCCACTCATCAGAAAAAGTAACGGTTTCGATCCATCGCATTAAAAAATTGTACTGATTTCAGAGATAAACTCACATTTTTGTCTTCTCGACATGATATCCTTAACTATATACATAATTAAACAGAAGACGTTTGAGTTTATCATGTGTTGATTTTTATTATTCCAGGGTGCTATTTGGACGAGGAAATCAGTAAAAGGACAATACAGTCTGAAGGATGCTGGTGTTCGTTGATAATGTAGATGTTTGTAATGAACTAAATTCAATGCTGCCCGTTGAGATGCAATGGTGAAGCTGGGACTTGTATTAATTTACAGTATCAATGGAGACACTGTGCTAGTCGCAGTTTCACCATTGCAACTCAAAAGGCAGCATGAAATTCTGATTCCAGGGTGTTATTTTGTCTCTTGGGAAACATTCGGACCAGGTTTTGATCCGTAAACCTTGTCTGTGAACACCAATATTCCTAAGATCTTCCTCAAGCCGAGGTCGGAGCATCCAATGAAGCAAGACAGTCCAACTTTAACTTAATCTGATAAGATAGATACTTTGAAACAAATACCGAGATTAGGATTTAAATGTACGGTTCTTGTGTAAGATACATCAAAGAGCAAAAATAATGGAAAATTTGGAGTTACCCTTAATAATCTGGTAAGCCATTGATCCGATAACGAAAAACTGAAGATTTTCTCTTCCTCTTCACATCATCATCTTCTGTATTTTCTTCTCCTACGCTAACTGAAACCATTTTCTTTTTTTGGGGAATGAAGAAGTTCTTTCTCAGGACGGTTTTATTCTAGTAAAATTATATATGATTGTTATGCTGGTCTTTTTTCGAGAATTATTCAGGATGCGTGTAAGTTGGTAGGTAGGGATGTTTTGGTGTTAAAAAAATAAAAAAATAAAAAAGGGTTTATATAGAAGTTAATTTATGTAAAAACTGTTTGACTAGAATATAATTTTATAATTGATGTATACATATTTTATTATTTCATTTATTTATTAATTTTACTGAGATATATGTTTTTATTTTATGAAGTAGTATGGTATTGAAAGGCATTATTTGGATGAACATGAAAGTTATTATTTTCGAGATTGCCACTATAATCTATCATAGAATGTAAATTTTGGTATAAATTAATTACATTGAAGACATTTTGAGAATGTATTTTAGATAACAAATTTAAATCAATAGTTATTGTGTTAAGGCTCTTTGTGCAAATTCTAAAACTATAAGGACATATGGAAAACTTAAAGGTCCTTAATGTAATTATATTGAATTTCTATCGAAGTAAATTTAGTAATTATTGATTATTTTATTTTAACTGATATGGAAGTTGAGTAATGTTACATTTACATCACTTTTTTATACTATATTTATTATATCATGATGTGATATATGTTATAACCATATTCATTACATCATAACGTGGTATATGTCACAATCACATAAATTTTTAATTATTTTTAATTTTTAATATTATAATAGAATTTGTGTGGTTGTGACATATGCCACATCCTGAAGTAATGAAAATTATGTGAAAAAAATGGAGTAAATATAGCATTACTCTTCTATTATAATATTAAAAATTTAAAATAATTAAAAATATATGTGGTTATGACATATGACACACCATGATGTAATAAATATGATATAAAAGAGTAGTGTAAATATAGTATTACTCAAAATGAAATATCTCAATTTTTTTATTTTTTTTTTAATCGAATCAAAATCAAAATAACTTTACAAAAGTATTTATACAATACTTGCTGTCCAAGTTGGCAATCCTTGTAAACAAAAATCTAAGCCATCAATTGTTTTAGAAACAAACACAAACACAAATAATCTTGACCGTTGAACCATTTTCTTCTTCTTCAATAGAAAGAGAAAAGCCTAAGTCTTAGTCTGCTTCAGTTCACAATCTGCAGAGAATGGGAAAGTGCAGAGATATTTTACTGAAACCAAAACGCTGCCGTTCCTTCATATGAAAAACTAAGAGACTTGGAAGTTAACTCAATTTCTTCTTCTTTCTGTTTTTTAACACCGTAAGTTGCTATTGTTATCTTCAACAAGGTGGAACCAACAGTTTCGGTTCTAGCTCCTAAAAATTTATTGTGATAGTATTCGTTATAATTGATTTATTTATTTTGACTAGTTTATAAATTTTTCTTCTTCGATTGATTTAATATATTATATGTTATGTTATATTAGTTTTTATAAATAAGTTAATTATTTTTAAGGTCCCTGACATTATTGACTTAAAAACACAAAGAGATTAATATAATTAATTATTTTCAGTTTCTATATTCAAGAGATGGTATATATATCTCATATGTGCAATATTATTACTTTGGTTTTAAAGATATCGAATTTTTTACCTAATATAAAAATTATAAATTTAGTAATTGTTGATTATATTTGTTAAAGATAGAAGTTTTCACCTAATATGGAAGTGCATTTAATACAGTTATTATAAAGAATCTACACAACAGATTACAGTATTAATTACTTTAATTAAAAGACAATAATCCAGTATAGTATATTTAATTATTTATATATATGGTAATAAATTCAGTAATTATTTATGATATATTAAAGATGGAAGTTTTTAGCTAATATGGAAGTAAATCTAGTACATTTAATTTTGAATTTCTTATATGGCAGTAAATTCAATAATTATTAATTATTTATGTTAAAGATGGAAGTAAATTTAGTATATTTAATAAATTATTAGATACCAAAGAATCTAAGCCAAATTACGTTCTTAATGGCATTAATATTATAAGGTTGTAATCCTCTAATCCCATCTCAGTTTAACGAGCTTGGACTAGACATATTATTGGTCCCAGTGGACCAATCAAGCTTTGTCTACATGTATTTAAGAAAAATAAATAAAGAGTATATAATTAAGTAATTTAAAACATATAACCTTCCCAAAATTAGCATTTTTATTTGTAATCTATGGTAAGGTTGGATTATAATTGTTTGCAATACGGTTTTTATTCGAGTAAATTCTATTTTCTAACATTTTTCATCTACGTTAGTAGAAATATCGATGGAAGAAGACATTTTTCTTATAATACCTACAAGACAAAGATGTTATAGAGTAAAACACGTAAAAAAATTAATTAGATTATGATTCGATGATCCAAATGACCAGGTAATATTAACCTCAAACCCTAAACCCTATAATCTCTTACTGTAACTTATGGTGCAACGTCGACGGTGAAACATTTCCCAGAAATGCATCTTGGAATTGCATAATGTAACGTATAGTATTAGTATTAATGGCATAACATATCAATGCCACTATAAATACTCGTCCCCTCTAGTTTCACCATTGCATCTCAATTACATTCACACCATTAAACTCTTTTCTTCTGAGCTCTATGATGGAGCTTCACTCTCTATCTTCTCCAAGTTGTTCATCCTCCTCAGTAACAATTCCAGTGAAAGAAGCAACACAGAATTTGATGAGTTTTGTCATAATCGGATTAGCGATTTACCAGATGCAAAGACCCCTACCATTCACATCTCTGTACGAGCTTTCTCTTTCTCTGTCTGAGGTTAACATGCTCCATCAACATACTTGATTTATTTTTATTTTTATTTTCATTTTATGACAGGGATTAAGATTCTGGTAGATGTGAAGGTATTAGAGGCCAAGTTAATGAAGATGGTAAATTGCATATCAATAAATATTACTGAGATTCGATTCCAGATTTTCTTAATGAACTATTAGAATGATTAATTATACTGTTTCAGGATTATGCGGAAGATGAAAGTGGTTGGGGTAAGATTGCTTTAGACACTGAAATAGAATTAGAGAGAACTCCAGGAACATGAGCATGCGGAATCCTAGTAGTTGGGAGTTTGAAGATGTTAAATGAACACTGGAGCAACCCTTCCCTTCGATCTTCCTGCTTCTTAAGAATTTTATTGGCCTCCAATTCCCATGTTTTGATTTTTTAATTCAGGTTGAAGTAGCTAGCTGAGTAATGTTGATTGTAACAGGATTGAGACGACAAATTTTCTCTGTATTTGTTTACAATTTAAAATGATAATCAAAAATCAAAATAATCACACGGTGCCTGTTCAGATTATATGCCCTGTAGCACCATTAATTTTTTTTTTTTAATTTTGTTAAATTAATTTGATTATTAAATTTTACACCAAATTTGATTATTTGTATTTAATTTAATTTGATTATTATTTATGTTAATATTTATAATAATAAATTCATAATAATGATATAATTCAAAAAATGATGAAAAATTACAAACAAAACTTTATTAATTGCAAATATTAAACTACAATAACTCAAAATAAAAATTAATACTAATTTAAAAACACTGAAATTAAATTACTATCAATATGGAATTTTAATTTTGTGTTGTTGTTTTTTTTTTTTTTTTGGGGTATCATTTTATATTATGTAATGTTTTTTAATATTAAATGTAATGTTTATTTGATTAAATAAATGCTTAATTTTATTAAATTAGTATAATTTTCAAAGTAATTATTATTTAATAAAAATATCATTCCCAATATTTAATTAATATATACAAAAATAATGAGTGAAATAGATTAATTGTTAATTATTACAATAAAAGAAAAAGAAAGAGAATATTATAAGGAATATTCTTTTTGGTGTAATATTTGGTGTGGTGGGTTGGAGATGTAATAATATTTTACACCAAAACTTGCACCAATTTGATGTAATGGGTTGGAGATGGTCTCAATCATTCTATAATCTAAAGTGAGAGCTAAGAAGCATCTAGATGAGCTCATGAGCCAAACCAAACAAAACCCAAAAAAAAAAAAAAAAAAAAAAAAAAAAAACCCTTAAAATGTGAATTGACATTATTTATTTATTTTTTTCTAGAAATGCATAAGTAATTATTAAAAATGTTTCTTTAAATAGTAAATTAATAAATACCATATATTTTTAGGCTTGTAAGGTATTAATAAATTCCGAGGATTAGAGAGGTGACGTGGTTTGGTTACCCAAAAAAAAAAAACTATATCTCTTATTCAAGTTCAAAAAATAAGCTTTAAGCTAATAAGAAATTGTTTAATGAAGATATGTAGTAGATAGTAAAAATCTAGAACATAGATTATAGTCTTAATGAATATAATTAATTAATTATATGTCACATAATAAAAATATGTCAATTAGATTATGTCATTTATTCCTATAAATACTGGGCTCTTCCATGTCATCAACCATCAACCATCAGCCATCATCATCATCGGCAAGGCTCCTGCCCTCCCCCACAATCTGCAGAGGGGTGACTCAGTCTCTTCATGATGATGTGTGTTCTAAAGCTCATGCCCCCTCCGTTGAGCCTCCAGAAGTGAAACTGGAAAGTTTAAATCTGCCTCGTCCATTCAAAAATTAGTGAAGTGACTAGCTAGTTTTGTAACTCATGGAGCAATATCTAACATATTGGCTTCGTTTGGTTCAAGATTGGGAATACTACTCTTGGTATTCCTAAAAAAGTTAAACCGTAAAATAAATAAATCTCTCATTTTGGAAATTTTTTCAAATTATTCAATTTTTTTAACCCCTCTAAATTTGTTAATTTAATAAATACCCCTAAATATTTTTTTTAAAATTACAAAAATACCCAAACAATCCACATTTACCAGATTCCGGCCACCACTACCGGAAAATGGCCGGAATTTGGTAGGATGGCGCACTACCAGCTGAATCTGGCCGGTAGTGCGCCGATCTAGCCTTTTCCGGCCAGATCCACTGTGATCTGGCCGGAAAAGGCCAGATCTAAGGCCAAAGATCTGGCCGTTGACGGCCAGATCTTGGCCGTAACACTCGGTCACGACGGCCAACAAACGGTCATCGTTGACCATCAACGATGACCGGTTGGCCATCGTTGAGAGCAAATACGGCCAGATCTGGCTTGACCGTAGATCTGGCCTTTTCCAGCCAGATCCACTGTGGATTGGCCGGAAAAGGCCATATCGACGCATGACCGACAAGATCAACCGTCCATGCGCCCTTAAGCGAGCTCCGGCCACCTCCGGTGGTGGTCGCCGGCTGGGGGTGTTTGAGGGTGGGTTAGGGGTATTTTTGTTAACTTTTAATGTTTTATTATAGGGGGTATTTTGTAAAAAAACAAACATAAAGGGTATTTTATTAATTTATAAATTCTACATCGTAATACCCGCCCAATTCAACTTTTTTTTAACTTTTTCAAAAAACTTTTCCCAAAACCCCCAAATTTTGAACCTAATAACAAACATATATATATATATATGTTCCAGCCTTCTGCAATTACTTATAAGATAGGTTATTTCCAACCTTCTGCAATTACTTATAAGATAGGTTATTTTTAAGTGTTTTTCTTACAAAATACCCTCTTCCCCCCTCCCCCTTTTTTTTTATAATGTTTTTAGTCAGTTTATACACGCTTCAATTAATCTTCAAGAAAATTAGCGCAACAACCGATCACCACGTTTCTTATAAAATACCCATTAGTTTATCTTTTCTTTTTCCAGGATTGATGATGAAATTTGAGTTTTATGATAAGAGTTGTGAAACACAATCATTTTATTAATTAAAAATAAATAAAAAAAGAGACTAATTTATTGATGGCATTTCATTCAAAAAATTGATCCACAGCTGAGTAAAATGAAATGAAGAACTTATTATTATTGATTAACTGCATGGTGGATAAAAGCAGTAGAAGAATTGATAAATAATAATCCACCTAACAAATGCATCGAAGACAAAAGCCTTTACATTTGCCAGTCTGAAATCCTTCACCTACGCAAAGCCACCTGAAATCCTGAGATCATCAAGTTCTCCTCAAACGAGGGCATCCAATGAAGCGAGTCAGTCCCAGACTCCAAGCATTTCCATTACGGACTGAAACTTAATCTGAGTCTGAGTTACCCTAGCATTATAGATTAATTTGGTAATTACCATAATCGATGTTTTAAAACCCGACCCGGCCTGGCTGGTTTAACCGAGACCCGAGAGCTTCACCAGGCTAGGTTAACAATTTCTCTATTCACCCAAAACTTAGAATTTGGGATGATGATCGGTGAACAATTGAAGACCAAGATGTTAGGGTTTTTGAAGAGAAAGTGATAGTGAGTGCAATAATGACGACAAAATTGATTTCCGATGAGTGAATCAATCGGAAATCGAAAAAAAGGGCTACAACAACTGCCTTCTTTTGCCAGCGATTGATGAGGCTAACGGGGTAAAGGTGAGATGGGTTTTCGTCGAAAGGAAGAGGGAAGTATTTTCAAGATGAAAGGGGTTGTCGACGTCGACGTCAGGGAGATCTGGCCTGAAATGTCGACGTCAACATCAATGAGATCTGACAAATATTGGATAGATTTTCTAAAGAATAAGCTTAAGAAATGATTGGAATTGCATTTAGGATGTCACCGCCACCAACCAATCACCGGCCAATTTGTATTTGAGATATGTTTACTAAATTTCAAACCTGTAAGCGCTTAACATGATTTTCTAAGGGTATATTTGCTGAATTTTAAAAGTTGTCACCCACTTTAAGCGACCAACAACTTTGCTAGGTGTTGGTTATTAAAACATTGACCAGAATAACTTCAAGATTTTTCTTTCATACTAATTGAAGCCTGATTTTCACATTAAGTTTCTTTCCCTGGGGCAGGCTATTAGAAGTAGATTTTTCTTTCATACTAATTGAAAATTGCTTAAACAAGAACAGTAACATTTGCTATATCAAATTTCATGCAGGCCACTCGATTATTGACCATCTTATTAACATTGCACTGAGAAGACTGCGAAAGCCAGTTGAATTCGTATGAACAAATTCACCATGCCCAAACAGAGATGTATATTACTGGAATAAAGCTCATACACTATGAACATTCCATTATTTTCAAGTTGCATCATCAGATGTCCAAGTTCATATTGTGATGAAAGTCACTCAAAACCAAAAATGAAAAGCTGAATCGCTATTGAATTTATAACTACTATTTCAATCTAATTCATAGCATCGCTGTGCATCAATTGCTAGCAACAGCAAACATCTTTAGTAATTTTATTTAGTGGTGGGCTGCAACTAATGCCATATGCTCTATCAGATCCAGAACTCGGTTGCTGCAAGAAAAATCGAAGATAAAATTATCACATAATCATAATCACCTCGATATAATCTGTTTCACTGACCAAGTGTGCGAGTAAGAGATGTTTTACCTGTATCCCCACTCATTGTCATACCATGAGACAAGCTTCATGAAAGACTTACTCAACCCAATCCCAGCCTTGGCATCGAATATACTTGACCTGGAATGAAACAAAGCCATAAGTTCTAAAATGCACCAAATAGAGATTAAAAATGAATATATTTTTGTGTTTCAAAAATCATCTTGACACGAAAGCAACTGTCAGTAAGATATATGGTATGAGATCCTAAAAATGAATTAACAATGCTAGAAATTGAGGAAAGAGAAACAAGTATTACAACATATCTGGAAAATGTTTAGCACAATGCAACAAGAACCCTCTTCCACTGATAAATTATTCAATGTACATCTACTAACTTTCTGTATATCACCAATTTCATACAAGTAGAGACACACAAGTATAAATAAACACAGATATACCTTGAGTCACCAACGAAGTCATTAGAGACAACATCCTCATCTGTGTATCCAAGAATGCCTTTCAATGGGCCCTCTGATGCATACCTTCATTTGGAGAAAGTATTAGTAACTCGTAAGCAAAAACAACCAACCCCTCCCCCAAGGAAAAGAAGAATAGAAAATATATTGTTAAGAAAATGCAAGTTGTACAATATAACTGAAAAAACACCATACTTTATTGCTGCTTTGACATCTTCATAAGAAGCACTCTTCTCAAGTCGACAAGTTAAATCCACAACGGAAACATTGGGAGTTGGGACACGGAATGCCATTCCAGTAAGCTTGCCATTGAGGTCTGGAAGAACTTTTCCAACAGCCTGCAGTATAAGTAGCAGCAAAATTGTAGCAGCCAAGCAAAATAATTTCATATTCATTATATCAGCAAGGAAATCCAAATGTTTCATGTCTAACCTTTGCGGCACCAGTTGAACTAGGAATGATGTTTTGTCCAGCTCCACGTCCCCCTCGCCAATCCTTCATTGAAGGACCATCAACAGTTTTTTGTGTAGCTGAACATTGGCAGCCATGATTACATTAGTTACCAAACCCCTAGATATGACATGTTGAGCACATCAGAGAGTCAAAGAGAAGGACCTGTAGTTGCATGCACAGTTGTCATTAAACCTTCAAGAATACCAAATTCCTCGTGGACCACCTGCAAAATGTGATGGTGATTTCATTAGCTATGTATAAAAGAGGCACAGCATAACTCAAGTAGCTGATTAAGAATGGGATTACAATAAGCTTACAGTGGATTTCTTTTTCTTTTTTTTCTAATTTTTTGGCTAATTCTCAAAATTATTACTTGTCAAGAACAACTCGTAAGAGGTGTGCACATGTTTCTAAACTGGTATTAAGTGAACCAACAGAGGGGCCAACTATTATCAGCAAGGCGGAGCAAACTAAATTTATGAAACCCCAAGTCCAAATAATATATTTTCGGAATAAGTATCAATAAGGCTTGAAAATTGAGGATGAAAATGCAATCAAACCTTGGCAAGAGGGGCAAGACAATTGGTAGTGCAGCTGGCATTAGAAACAATATCCATGCTTGGCTTGTAAGTCTTCTCATTTACTCCAATCACAAACATAGGTGCATCAGCTGATGGAGCAGATATTACCACTTTCTTTGCACCACCCTATAGAGCACAAAGTCAAGAAAGTTTTGAGTTATATCTGTCCATAAATGTATGAGAGGTAAAAAGATAGCAATGAACTAAAAAAAAAATAGTGTCAAAAAACTCTGAACTAACCTTTATGTGAGCTGAAGCCTTGTCAATTGTTGTGAAGACCCCAGAAGATTCAACAACATACTCAGCCCCATAAACACCCCAAGGGATCTCAGCCGGGTCCCTAGGTGGAGAGTTAAACATTAGACCTTAAGTAGAATCAATTACTTATGTTTGCAATAAAACCACGCCAATATATAAATCTTCATTTGATCTCTGAGGCCCTACCTTTTGCTGAAAATTTTAATCTGCTTCCCATTTATTTCCAAAGTGGATTCATCCACAACCTTGAGGGTTCCCTTAAAAACTCCATGAGTGGAATCATACTTAAACATGTAAGCCTGCAAGAGAAGAGGAAAAAAAAAAAGTGAACAACAACAACTCTTTTCCATAATTTGAAGAAGTCTAACAAATCATTACCATGGTAAATATTGGACTTGAGAGATGAGCAATCATTTATCAGGGAAGAAAAAGTTCATACTACCAAACATAATCATGAAGCAAAAGAAGACTAAACCAAACACTCTTATATTACCACAGAAACTTTCAATGAAAAACTGCACAGAAAATAACAATATGAATCATTATTTAATAGTTAAACATCCATCAACCAAAGAGAACTTAACAAATAAAAGTGCGACACGCGCAACTAATTGTGCATCCTTACCATGTACTTGGCATCAACAAAAGGATCATTTACTGCTACCACGTCAATATCATCCCTTGAGGTTGCTACTCTCAAAACCAGTCTTCCAATGCGACCAAAACCTGCAAAAGTTCAGCAACAAATGAGTTATCATATCACAATTCTTAACTAAAAAGCCCTTATCTGAAATGAATAAGAATATATGCAATCGTAAATATTGAGATTTCCAGTATTCAAAACGCTAGAGAGATGAGCAACTAATGAACTCTTCATTACAGCATAACAAATTATCAGTCTAACAAATACGCCATAAGGACTCAAATACCATCCTTTAAAACACATCAAACACTAAGCTCCTAAACTTTTTGTAGCTCCTTGTAATATTTAGTTAGAGATGAACACAACTTTTCAGCTACTTTCGCAATGCTAATCCCTTCAAAGTCAAAATAAGCAAAAAAAGCATAGTTCCAATCAGAGTAAAACATACCATTGATTCCAATCTTTGTGCTCCCACTGCTCCGAGTTTCTAACAAAACAAAACAGATCAGCACACTATTAAACTAGTTTCCAAGATTATGAATCACTAAATGAAATCCTTTTATTCTTACTTTGAACTGTGGGTGGCAGCTCTGTAGCAGTGGCTTTGATGGGTTGAATACTCTTGGCAACATATCTCCTGCATAATTTAACACAAAGAAGTCCCACTATTAACAACAAAACAAGAACGAAACAAACAAACGCACCACCGAATGTTAATTACTAGGTCACTCAACTGTAAAGAAGAAGACCCGCTCGCGACCGAAGAACCAAAAATGCTTGAAGTGTTGAGATTAAACCCAACACATGAACCCTGAGAAAATTGCATTATATAAATATATTATTAGAATGCAGAAGCAAACTTTTAAAACAGCTTCTTAAATTTTAAAAAATAAACAATAAATAAAAAGATCACCCAAAATCAATACTTAAAGCAACATAACACGATTTAAAAAGAAAAAGAAAATTATTCGAACACTTTTCCGGTGACATTACTGAAATTGAAAACAGAACTGTTATGAAACAAACTGGCCGTACAACGTTGTCCGTACCGGTATTGTTACAGAGAAGCCAGTTACCTAAACTCAGATCAGCTTAATATATAAATATATTTCCAAATATATTAAATGTAATAAACTTCTTCTTTTTAATTCCATAAGCACCAAAATAAATAAATAAATAGAAGCAACTGAGATTCCAAGCCCAGTCCAGTCAACAACAAGCAAACGGAGCTTCTAAAAAACCAAGGCAAAAACAGAGGACGGCGATCGGACCTTGAGACGATCGGAGGAGGAAGAAGAGAAGTCGGCGGCGCGTGAAAGATAAACGGTGGGCGTAGATCTAAGGAGAGAAGAGAAAGCCATTTGTTGAAAACAACAGTGCCACTTTTCCCGGGGCTTCTCTTTTTAACAAGCGGAAACCCTAATAAAGAGGAACAGAAAAGAAAGGAGAGGGCTGGCTTTTGAGTTTTGAGAGGAGGCAGGCAGTGGCCAAAATACGAAATGAAGTGTTTTTAAAAGCAAAAGAAAACAATTGTTTATTCTCAGTTTTGGGTTAAGCGTAGCGCGTGTTTTTTTAAAACAGAAATTGAATAACTGAGCGGAGTTTCTTATGTCAACAACGCTACACATCAACATATTACACCACCTTTCTGTTTCTCGGCCTATATTTACTTCCTATATATGCCTATCAAAGCTTGCCACGTGTGAAACTGATTTGAAAATGTTGGCTTTTCAGAACAAAGCGTATGATAAGGGAATGAGAACGGGGACATAATAACATTTCTTAATTGTATCTGGGGAAGACGACTGTGAGATAAACGTAGGTGGGATTGTCGTTTTATTGCTGAGCTGAGAAAAGTTCAGCGACCCTCGAAAGCCACGTCGGTCCATGGCTGGGCCTATTTTGGGCTTTTTTTCATTTTTAGATTTAGCCGGTCCTACCGACAAGTCGGCTGCCTGTGGCTGGTGAAAGCCACGTTTGTGGTTAGGTTTTGACTTGTCAATCCAGTTCCGCGCTCTAAAGTCCCTACAAGTACCAAGTCTACGGTCAGATTTGCACCTTGACTCGTGATTAAAATAAATAAAGTAGCAAAATCAAACTTCTTACATTTTTTTATTGCAATTGTGTGAAATAAACCATTTTTGTGAAAAAAAAATGACAGATTCTCTTGCACTTTAAAATTTTTTTAATAATAAAATAATTAAAAATTTTAAATAATAGTTTATATTCTTAGAGCATATGCTAAAATATTAATAATTTAATTTATAATTAATAAAATTATGGATTTAGCATGCGTGAGGTTGACATGCGACCTTTGAATTAAATAGTAATATCATAAATAAAAATATGAATTGAAATTTTTTTTTTTTGTGATAAAATGTCCAAATCAGTTTACGTATACCTCGCTAATCTCTCAAGTCTTGGAACTCTAAAGTTAATGCAAGTAAATCCTCTTAAATAATATATCTAAAAATCCCTATTGTCACATTCAACATCCAGTAATGGTTTGCGTGAAAATTGATGTCTAAAATTAGTAAAGGTTATAATATTTTTAATATAAAGGTTACATATACTTGATAAATAATTCCGATCTATATATTACTCATTTATGGGTTAACTTATACAATTATTTATTTTATACCTAACTAATCTAATAATACTTCATAAGACTATCGAAATGCTTCTCTTCTCACATAACAAATGCATAAAAATTTATTGATTATATCGAAGTACCATTTAGTATCCGTCTTCTTTAATTATTATATCCATAAGATATATTATCGATTTATTATATATAAAAATAAATAAAAAGACAAGACACTGGTGGACTGTATAGAAGCAATCCGTAGGAAATGTACGTTTTATTGGTCGGGTGGCTCAAAGTGGGGACGGTCTACTCTAGAAATTTGCTTAGGCAACGCAGTGTTTGGATTGCTGCCAACAAACCCTCCACTGCATCTAATTTTTATTAATTAACAAAACACGCATTATTGGATTCCATTTCCATGGAGTGCCACCTTTTAATCATCACGCTATACATTTTTGTGATTAATCATTTTTCTTTTATTTCTGTTCAATTTTAGCTATTTTCTTCGTTTGTCTATTACTAATAGGACAAGTCCCGCGATACGGGTAAAAATATTTTAAAAAACGATTCTGGTATTTAATTTTACGATAAAGTCTTGGAGTAGATTATGTAGAAGTATTTAGTTTCTTTCGAAGACTTTTATAGTACAATATTGTTTAATGGGTCTTTAACTTGTTCCTTGAGCTGAACATATTGAGAATTGTTGTCCTTGATTTTTCCATCAAGTTCGTGAGTTGCGAGGTATTAGATAGACCCAGAATCAATCAGACCTACCGATTATTTGACTCAGCATAAGCTCATCGATATATAGCTCGATCCAGCGTAAACTAATCGCAAACAACATGAATGATCGTTCAATCAATTCCCAGATAATTTTAGATCCCATATTATGAAAATAACCAGATTAACAACAATTTCTGTGCAATTATAGTGCCCAATCGAGAGAATTTTAGAATTGCAGTTCAAATCAATTGTAATTCCTTTATTTTTGCTATTTTCTTTACACAAACCTTTATATAAACCCCTCAAATGATGAAAATGGGTTAGAAATTTTTCATAAACTCTCATTATAAGCTCTCACAGCGAATATAAGAACAGTGACATAGACATAAGAGTTTCCTCGCCGAACCACTTTAAAAAATTTTATTGTCTTTTACTTGATTGCACTATTATTCACCTATCGTTGATTATCCGTAATCACGCCTACACCATTCTGATTCCACCATTCAATCGCATCTCTCTAGTTAGTACAAATTTTCGTTTCAACAGAATATTTGGTTGTATGTCATATTCTTATCAATATAAAGCTTGAAAATAATGCAAATCAATAAACTCTATATATAAATGATAATAAGAAATAGTAATCTTGTCAAAACAAGACTTTTTTCTCTTACAATGAAGTGTTGATATCTTACAATGTTCTAAAAACCTAGACCGCCCTTGAACCATCAAGGAGCTGATTCTCGTTGGTCATTTCGATCGGTGATGTCAGCATACCAACAAGTTTAAAACTTAAAAGACACACCTCTGAGAATTAACACATAATCCCTATAGGTTTGAAATCTGCAAACATGCCCCCATGATCAAAACTCCAAGAAACCCTAACCATTGCAACTGCAATCCACCCCAGCCTTCTTTCGGTCGTTTTTTCTCTTAGGGTGCATGTGTGATGTCTTAGACATCAAACTATACGAATAGGCTTATCAAACCATAATTAACGGTTAATTGGTCGATGGAAAAATTCTTTGTATTTAGCTATCGAGTATCTTGTATTTTCAACTCAAATAATAATTTTAATTATATGCTTCTTTTTTTTTTTAATTATTTAATGAATTCATATAGGGTGAGGTTTTTTAAACAAATATGGATGTAAAATATTTTAATTTTTTTTATAAAAGTATTCTCATAAAAAAGTTAATAAAACCATTAAATTTCTGGTTACAAATTGAAAACCTTAAAAAAAAAAAAAAAAAAAACCAGACTCTAGAATTACTATTGAACCAACAAATCGTGCCACGTCATAATGAATTACAATAAATGGTCAAACCAATCATGTTGACCACACAAGCTAAACTTAGTAAACCAATTCAGTGGCCAGAAAAAGAAGGAATAAGAAAGAGCAATATACTCTCCAGCCGCATTCGAATAGTTCCCAAATGGGGGGGAGAGATATTGCCATTTCACCTGAAAAAGGAAGCGACAGCGGGGCACGCCACGTGTCAGCCACGGAAAACCTCTTCTACCTCACGTCCATTGGCCTCGATTTTTATTATTTCCTTTTGTTTCAATCACCTTTCATTCTAACCAACAAACGTAACAAACATACACAGAGCCCCCAGAAGAAAGGATTTCATTTCCTTACCCCATTTCCTCCTGCCTCTTAAGTAACCCCCCCTCTCCGTAATTTTGTTTCTTCATTTTGGTACATGGGGTTTGTCTTATAATGTTCAATTTCAATATAATTCTACGTTTTTTTTTTATATTTGATAATGAAATATGAGAGTTTTAACAATGTCTCTTTTAATATGTGATCCTTCTTTTGGTAATGTTACTATTAAATTGTTATGTACAATGTTTTATACGTAGTCGAGACGATGCTGCTGTACTGATTGATCACGTTTGTATTTGGATTTGATAACGTTTATATGTTATAAGTGTGACATTGTATGTTTTTATGAATTTTATAGGGTGTTTATGATTTGTTTTTTTAGGTTTTTGATGGGATATTGAGAATTGGATTGATGCTATTGTTGTTGTGGATGATGATAGATCTATAAGAGAGATCAAGTAGTATTGATGGCAGTCACAAGTATTGGGATGATTGTGTTGATCCCGAGACATGAAGGAATGTTGGAAGGAAGTTGAAGTCAGCACTGAATGGCTAGATGCTGAAAAATAGAGGACAGAAAGTCCATCTCTCTAGGGATCTCATGGAGAGCCTTTTTTGACTCACGAGATAAGGTAAACCAGATTCATTGCATAAGGCATATGTTATATTTGAATACTCATATGCAGTTTACTTACTCAACTGGGTCTGTCTTATTCTTTGATCTTCCCTTGCATTGTGTCGTATGCTTTCAGGCTGTGGTCAATATCACTGTTCGAAGCATTTTGATTCACAGATTGATCCGGTTTGTATCTTTTCATCTGGTTGTGTATTTTATGTTCTGGATTTATAAGTTTGACAACATGGATGATGTTTAATTCAGTGGAATGAAATCTGTTTACAAAATTGATTTTTATATGTTTTTCATTTTTCACACCCTCAGAGAAAGGGATATTTCGATCTCTCTCTCCATAGCAGATAAATGTGAAACAAATAAGAAAAACGGATGTCCTTTACTATTTGCTTCAAGTTTTTTCTCTGCTACCATAGATGTTTAATTTCAGATCGTTTTATGTTTCTACAGGAAATGATTTGTGCAATTTGTGAACTTGAAAGTGACAGACAGCTCCTTTCTATGCGTATTGAAAAAAAGTCTAAGGAAACCACTCAAGTTCTCATGCAAATTTCAACAAAAACTGCTATTTGGCTGTTTGGGTAACAACTATGATCTGTTTGTCTTTTTGAGCATTTAACAATTTTAACTCATAATCATTTCCCTAATCTTCACTACAAATTGCTTGCAGTGTGATATGGGTTGCAAAGCATATGATGTGGAAATAAATCCAATCTTCTGTATAGGGCCTTCGTAAGTGTATATTTTGGAGCTGCTTACCTGAAATATTTATCAACCTATGATGAAGTAGTTGCAAAATCTTGAGACTTCATTTAATCCTTAGCATCACCAAAGGTTTTAACCTGCTGAGAATTGATACATTACTTCCTTGCAGAGAAAGGAGTGAAGAATATATTGTCAGGGCTATAAAGGAGGCGCGAAAAAGGCTACTCACAAATCTACATTGCCAATTGGAAAGA